ACTACAGGAACATAAACGTTAAATATCAAGATCAGGTTTGGTTGAATTTTTCTTGTTTGTTCTACTGCTTTAAAGACTTTCCACTATTTTTACAATGAGTTTAGTAAAAAATCCAAGGTTTTGAAGAGTCAAGAAATCATGACCCCCTTTTTTCAACAGGTTTTAGTAATTGGACTATTAATTGATCAAAAGTGCAGTTATGGTCATTACACTGTTTTTATTTACTATCAGTCAATAAAATTTAAGGTAGAAAACTTTCATTTGAGACAATAAATGGGATTATGGAGAGTTTATGCACTGTTTACATTTGGCTATATTATCTGTCAAATACATGGGTTTGACGCAATGATATAAGGGGTAAAAATCAAATAAATTCATTAAAACTTCATGACGACAAGTTTTTTTGGGTGGTAAACAACCTATGTTTTAATGTTTAATACAACAGAAACAAGTTACTGTGAATTCATAACAATTTAAGTCACTTTTTTTTATATTAAAGCATATTGTCATGGTGGGAAAAGCTAAAAATTGAACAAATTCAGGTTTAAGGCTCGAAATTTGCAATATGTGACTTTTTGCCAAAAAAAGATTGAAATGTGGCTACTATCATTCCAAATGATCAGTTAAGACAAACAAATCAACTGTTTTCTGATTTTGGGGTTTCACCGCTTTTCGCTTGAAAGGTGTCAGACCACCAATTAAAAATCCCTATCTGTTCAACCAAATTTTGCAATATTCACAGCTTTCTAAATATTTCACCTTAAGTTTAACTTCATAGAAACCAGGTATATCCTGAATCGTACAGGTATCACCTTTCTACATGCTAATTTTCAACATACCTTTAAAATCTTATAAGAAAGAAGAGACCTCCCGAACTGAGGTACCACTTAAAATAACCCCTGGTTTTCTGGAAATCATAAATTAGTATACTATGAAGCGCATTAATCCTCAATGTTAAATGCAAACTCATAGACAAGTAAATTTTGGCTCAAAATGGTCTTAATATATTTCTCTTTCACCAAAAGTTTCATTTCTGCAAATTTGTTGGTTAGTTTAAGTAAACAATGACATCTAATGCACTATTTTTTGTTCGAATAGGCATACTTTTGGAGGGAGTAATTGGTGGTCTGACACCTTAAAGACCATTTATTCCCGTGGAAATTTCAAGTGGAAGCCCAGCGTTGTTAATAAAAACAGAAAACATTTCGTTTGTTACAAAACAATCTTGATACATTGGTAAGATAATACTGATTGATTGATTGATTGTTGGTGTTTAACGCCACTTTCAGCACTATTGTGCCATATCGTGATGGTTATGTTATTGAGGGAAGAAGCCGGAATGCCCGAATAGAACCGCAGACCTTCGATAGGAAAACTGATAATCCTAATCGATTAAGATTGGAGTCGACGGCTCCTGCCAAGTGCAAAATTCGACAGGCTAGTGACACAATAGTCCGACTACTTGGATTACTTGGCCACCGAGGCCGCTTATATGATACGGAATGGTGACCCTTAAATTATTTTTATTTTGTTTTCAATTTTAAATTGCCATTCGCGACGTTTCCAACATAGTTAATCTAATTATGGCTGCTGTGACTCGTTTAACGTTCAGCGAACAATATCACTTGCTATACAGTGTGACATCTATCGAAATGATAACAAATTTATATATATAGTCGCAATTTAAAATATATACATGTATATTGAATATAAGAGAGAAACATCCATAATCAATCTGATTTAAATACAGGTCGATATCTAACTTACGTTGGTTCGTCGAAATTATGAACATAGTAAAATCACAGATTTATATTTCAATTAGATTGTTCTCGAACAGTTTAAGAAATTCGTCATCATTACAATTGTTGGCTATAATGTATAAAAATGTGAACATGGTTCTAACAGTACCTATTGTCAATTTTCCTGTTCCGACATGCATGTAATATATGACACTGGACGTACAATGATCCCCAAAAAGCCTGTTTGAAGAAATAAAGATACTTCACTCCGTATAGACTGATAGTAGTTGTATTAACGTCTGATCAGCTAGAGGGTTGATTAATTTATTTAGTTAGCTTGTTGGGGAATAAACCATTCCCAATATTGCACTTATGCATAAAATATTAAATGAGAGTAATAAGAGAAAATATAAATACATAAGTATTTCTTGTATTTGTATAGTTGGTATTAGAGAAAGGAAGACAGCCTAGGTCAGGCGTGCAAACTTTTCAGATCACGTGGTACGATGTCAGCTCCCGTGTTTGGCAATTTTAGATAATGAAAAAGATCGATTTGTGCATATTTTTTTAATATCAAATGTACTCTATTGTATTCATTAAAGCTATAGCGAGTTTTCTCATAGAAAGATATATTAAAGACGGATAATAATTATTACACAAGATATTTAATATTTTTTTTACTTCTTTTTGAAAAATTATATTAATGTCCCATAGTGACGGGAATTTGTGTTCGATCTCTGTAAAAATACAAGGCACTTATTTTTGCTAATATTTTCTTTAGTTTGCAGGTAAAAATCATTGCAATTTATACTAGTAAAAGAATATTTCGTTCATACAACCTTGAACATAACAGGTCTCATTAAGTCTATATTCGTTCCCGCATAGTAAGCCGATAAAACGTTTTTTGTGTGTTTTTTTTTGTACTGATAAATGCAACAATTCCAATATTGATAATTTCGTATCAAATAAAGTTTTGTCCCGAATAAAAACTGAAACTCAATTCAAAGAATAAAAAAAAAAAAAAAACGAGTATTCGATTTGATTTATGTACATGATGTACACTACATGTCGTACGAAATACCGGTAAGTCCACCGGATTTAGCAGTTAAATAACGGGACAAATTATTATATTCCCCGCAAAAAATGACAATTATCAAATTCGTTTATCATGTAGGAATATTGTATAATAATTTCAACTGTGTATTACTGCTCATGTTTATAATTTCAAACACCATATTTGTTCGCAGTATGGAAGTACAATAGATTTCTTTCGGTCGCAGCATGGAAGTATAAGAGATTTCTCTCGGTCGACCAAGAGAAATCTGCGTGCAGAGTGTCGTCCCTCCTCTGACTTGACAAAGTTACTACACATCTATAGAGTCTTAACATCGCGACCATGACAAGTAAGTCTGGCACCTTATATTGTCCTACAACTGTTTGACACTATATTATCATATGAATCTAGGATCTAAATAAAGCTTTACCACAAACAAAGACAAAATGAATTACATTAAATTATTCTTTTAAAAGAAAATAGCTATGCATGTATATGCCTTGATCTGGGACTATTATACTAAAAAGTATAACCTTGATTCTAAATTTCATGAACATGTAAATACTTTACTTGTTTCGCTATATTGGTCAGAAATTTGAAGATGAATAACAAGTCAAATTGTTTTTTTTTTTTAAATCTTATAACCAACAAATAAACGGGACAAGAAACTGGGCAATACGATTTTTTACTGCAAAGCCTTGAAAGTTTATATGAGACATACTATTTTATTTTTTTCCCACAATTTATAACTTTGAAACACAATGTTAAAATTTCTAAGACAGGTAAATATATTTGGTGTTTGTCCAGTGGCGGATTTGCCGGGGGTACAATGGGCACGTGCCTCCCAGTCCATGTCACCACAAAAAGTTTCTAACATGATTTTATTGCTACTGAATATGCTTATCTAAATCGGAAATTAATCACAGCTTGATTTGACTTCTTAACTGGCTGTTTATTAACCCTAGCTTCAACATGCGTGTTTTATGACCACTTATTCATGGGTGTGTAAATATTGACAGCTGTGTGTAATGTCTCTATTCAAAATATTAGATGTAAACTATATACAGGTACATGTTGATTGGAAAAGTACGAATATTTTTATTGTTTTTTGGTACAATATCACAGATTAAGATCGATTAACAGGTGAATTCTTCTGATGAGGAAAGAAATTACTAACCAAAATCTGTGTTTTAAACAAATATGTACAAATAAATGTTTAGTGTCAAGAATGTGAGTATCGATATTTGGGATATGTTTTCATAACAAAATTCTCACATTACCAATTTTTGTGATTTTTTTCTTCAAAACTGTCTTTAGTGACTTTATTCAACAACAAACTTTTTTTTAAACTGAATGACGTATTTTCTTTTCACTCCTATTTTCAAAGAAAACCAACAATTTGTTTTCAAAAAACTGCCCCCTTCCTCTTTCCATAAAAAAATGAGTGTCATTGTCTAATCCATATAATCATAAAACGCAATTGTATGTTATAAAACATAACCTGGAACTAATACCGTAACGTTTATCCATTAGTCCAAGCATACAGTAATATATGACACCAGACTCAAGCTAGCGAACACTAAGCCAGCGAACAATAAGATGCATCAAGCTAGCGAACAATAAGCCAGCGAACAATAAGAAAACGCGCCAACATGATCATGCCTAAAAACCGAAGACTTGCAATAACACAAAACGTCCTTTTAATTCTAATGAAACTAATTTCCAGTAGGAGAACGAAATGCAATTCCATTTTAACACAGACAAAGTTAATTAGTTATTCGTGTATCTAATACAACTGTTTTTCAACCGGACATCTAAAATTCCTATTAGGTAATCCTTTCTCTTTTTAGTGCTGTCTGATTAGAGATGGGTTTGTTGTTTTTATAATAATGAAACTAAACTAGTGTACATGTAACGATACAAATAAATCTTCTACTTTACATAGGCGTTTGAAAAGAAAAGAAAAATAAATCATCTGATTTTGGAATGTCCAGTATTTTTTGTTAGATTTTCTTTAGAAATAAAAGCATTATACGCAGTTTTCTTCTTTTGTCAAAGAACTAGTTCATTTTTCTAATTATTCAAAAGTATGTCGTCACTCTGGTAATATATTTACTATATTTCGAAAGGAAGAGTGATAAGTGTAAGAGAGGCACCCAAATAGAACGAAAAAAGAATTGACATAAAGATTTTGATCCAAAGTTGGGGTAGGGTGACCCTACCACCATCCAATTTTAATTCATAAAAAAGTCCCTACGGCAAAGCTTTTGTCCACACTAGGTACAAATGATAGGCAATTGCCTAAGGTTGCCTGGACCCAAAGACCCAGGTGGGTAAAGTTACGGAACATTTTTAATTGAGGTCCAAAGTTAGGGTAGGGTGACCCTACCACCATCCAATTTTAATTCATAAAAAAGTCCCTACATCAAAACTTTTGTCCGCACTAGGTACAAATGATAAACAATTGTCTAAGGTTGCCTGGACCAAAAGACCCAGGTGGGTTAAGTTATGGAACTTGTTTAATTGACCCTACCCCACCCAATTTTAATTCATAAAAAGGTCACTACGGCAAAGCTTTTGTCCACACAAGGTACAAATGATAGGCAATTGCCTAAGGTTGCCTGGACCCAAAGACCTAGGTGGGTAAAGTTACGGACTTTTATTATTGAGGTCCAAAGTTGGGATATGCTGACCCAACCCCCTCCATTCTTTAATTCATAAAAAATACCCTACGGCAAAGCTTTTGTCCACACTAGGTACAAATGATAGGCAATTGCCTAAGGTTGCCTGGACCTAAAGACCCAGGTGGGTAAAGTTACGGAACTTTTTTAATTGAGGTCCAAAGTTGGGGTAGGGTGACCCAACCCCCTCCCTTCTTTAATTCATAAAAAAGTCCCTACGGCAAAGCTTTTGTCCACACTGGGTACAAATGATAAGCAATTGCCTAAGGTTGCCTGGACCCAAAGACCCAGGTGGGTAAAGTTACGGAACTTTTTTAATTGAGGTCCAAAGTTGGGGTAGGGTGACCCAACCCCCTCCCTTCTTTAATTCATAAAAAAGTTCCTACGGCAAAGCTTTTGTCCACACTAGGTACAAATGATAGGCAATTGCCTAAGGTTGCCTGGACCCAAAGACCCAGATGGATAAAGTTACGGAACTTTTTTAATTGAGGTCCAAAGTTGGGGTAGGGTGACCCAACCCCCTCCCTTCTTTAATTCATAAAAAAGTCCCTACGGCAAAGCTTTTGTCCACACTAGATACAAATGATAGGCAATTGCCTAAGGTTGCCTGGACCCAAAGACCCAGGTGGGTAAAGTTACGGAACTTTTTTAATTGAGGTCTAAATTTGGGGTAGAGTGACCCAACCCCCTCCCTTCTTTAATTCATAAAAAAGTCCCTACGGGAAAGCTTTTGTCCACACTAGGTATAAATGATAGGCAATTGCCTAAGGTTGCCTGGGCCCAAAGACCCAGGCGGGTAAAGTTACGGAACTTTTATAATTAAGGTCCAAAGTTGGGATATGGTGACCTAACCTCCTCCCTTCTTTAATTCATAAAAAATTTCCTACGGCAAAGCTTTTGTCCACGTTAGGTACAAATGATAGGCAATTGCCTAAGGTTGCCTGGACCCAAAGACCCAGGTGGGTAAAGTTACGGAACTTTTGAAATTGAGGTCCAAAGTTGGGGTAGGGTGACCCAACCCCCACCCAATTTTTATTCTTAAAAAAGTCCCTACGGCAAAGCTTTTGTTCACACTAGGCACAAATGATAGGCAATTGCCTAAGGTTGCCTGGACCCAAAAACCTAGGTGGGTAAAGTTACGGACTTTATTATTGAGGTCCAAAGTTGGGATATGGTGACCCAAATCCCTCCCTTCTTTAATTCATAAAAAAGTCCCTACGGCAAAGCTTTTGTCCACGCTAGGTACAAATGATAGGCAATTGCCTAAGGTTGCCTGAACCCAAAGACATAGATGGGTAAAGTTACGGAACTTTTATTATTGAGGTCCAAAGTTGGGATAGGGTGACCCAACCCCCTCCCTTCTTTAATTCATAAAAAATTAAAAAAGAACCCGCAGGTGGGTAAAGTTCCTGAACTTCTACAACTGATTTCACATTTGGTGTTTGCACACCCTATCACATCCCAAGTTTAATTTTGTCAAAAAATCATTCCGGCTAAGCGTTTTTCTCACTAGGTACAAATGATAGGCAATTCCCTACGTGTTACCTGGAACAGATGGGCCGGGTGGATAAATTCTTGGAACGTTTGCAACTGAGGTCCAAAGTTGGGAAATGAGACCTTTTCCCCTCAAAACTTTAATTCGTCAAAACAATTCTCTACGCGGCAAAGCTTTTACCACATAAGGTACAGATGAAATTCAATGGCATAAAGTTGCCCGGATTAGATGAACCTGGTGAGTTAATTCACGGAACTACTGCAACTGAGGTTCAAAGTTGGGATAAGGAGATCATTCCGTCCAAACTTTAATTGTTATAAAATTTCCTACGACAAAGCTTTGATTTTGTCCATACTATGAACAAACGATAGGTTAGGCCTTGAAGTTGCCCGGACCAGATAGCGGAGGTGGGTAAATTCACCGAATTTCTTCAAATGAGATTCAAAATTAGGGTATGGAGACGCCCACCCTCCCAATTTTACATGTAACCCTTAACAGATTCCTACGGCAAAGCTTTTGTCTTTTGCCCAGACAGTAGTGTGAAAAGGCCGATTCTGCCGCACTCCCCCATTTTAAGGAGAAATCCTGCATAGGACCCCTAACCCCGAGGCTAAGATGCAATCCGACAGCGTCCCTTCTTAGCGTATAATAAATCATGACTTTTGTACAGAATGGTTTCGTCGACACAGATGACTTCATCAGCGAAGACACCTTTCAGGAAAAGGTGCAGGACCAGAATCAGGAAGCCATCAAATGGAAAGACTTGCCCACCGAGGTGATCTATAAGATCTTGGAGGTGGCTGAAGTGGATGGTAAGTTTGGAAAAAGCAAAATCCTCACCTTGAAGGACCGTCAAGGAGAGACCAGTAGAGTATGGGCTTGCCCCACGCTTAATAAGGAGAAATATTCTTTGCAAGGAGCCTTCGTACGAAGCACTGGGTTCAAGCTCAGCAAAAAGTCCAAGCAGGAGTATCTCTCATACGATCTGTTGAGGAAGTAAAAAAAAAAAAAAAAAAAAAAAAAAATAACCGAGGGCTAGGGGTAAGGACGCAAAATTTCCCAATCCAAATCGGATTGGGAAATTTTTTTGGTCACTTAACACTTTGATCTTGAGGTTTCGGAATGAGCGGGGAGCGAGGCGTAGCCGAGCGAGGCGCGATTGGAAGAACCCTCCCTACGGCGCATGCGCATTCAATTCTTCACTAATTGGGGTAGAAGGTTGACGAAGCTGATTTTTTTTCATCATAGCAGTTCTTCAGGCAGACTGCAGGAGCACCGTCTTCACCTGCCAGCTGGAACTTGTAGGTTTTGGCTAATCGCACGGTGTCTCGATGCTTCTTTTTCTTCTTGGCGACTCGGCGTGAGATCAAGGACAGAACCATTATCCCCGTGACACATACACAGGCGAGGGAACCTAGGGGAATGGATGCCACGGCACCCACACCGGTCAGAGCAGACCCCATGGTACCACTGGTCAGCAATAGACTGCCTATACAGGACCCACCCAGGGCAATGGAGATGACCTTATCCAATCGGTTGTAGATCTTCAACGCATGCTCATATCTCCGGATTTCTGCGATGAGCTCCTCTTCCATGCATGCGATATGACTGGCATCTACTTGATCCATTTATTTATAGGAGCATACCGAGGAGGGGAATATTTTTGAAGGGACTGTTAGCACCTAAGATCAGACCGGCTCCGTCGTGGAATTGCTGACCACGCTTCAAGTAAAGTCCATCACCATAGGTGATCCGGGCGTTTGAGGGTTTGAGGTAGAGACCGTTGCCACTAGGTTTCACGGTGCAAACGCATCCACCACGTTTCATGTACAATCCAGACCCTAAGGCCTTGTTGACGGCTACACCACCCAGACCACTCAAGGCTCCAACACCCAAGGCGGGTAGAATGGTTTTTGCTAACATGGGAAGTGCCCTCATTGCCAGCCCCGCCAACATGGGTAGGAAGCCACCTACCTTCTGCATGTTTTCCTTCAATTGGGTCGCACTTTACTTTAGGACCATGCCACCAGTACCCTTCTGTAGAAGCTTGGCGATCTTTTGAACCTGGCGGGTGGTGAGCCACATCTTGTGTTCGCCTTGCAGGTTTGCGTGGGACAAACGAATGGAGACCGGACAACCTTTCTTGGCAGCCCGTTGTAGTTTATCAGCTTGACCTTTTGTCAAGTTTAAACCATGTTCGTGATTTATTTATACCTCACGAAGATGAAAGCGGATGGTGAGATGTTCACCCCTAAAATCGATGGGCCTACCGTCTTGATCGGTGAGATACGTTTGCATGCGGTTGATGGTTCGCAAGGTCACTGGCAAGTATACCAGATTCTTAGGGGTTTGAATGATCTTCATACCAGGACCGTCTGCGGGAAAGAAGCTGTAGATGGTAGACTGCTGTGTACCATTCACATAACTTCCATGGATGATATCACTATTCACCAGAATGCTGTTGATGCTGATGATATTTACAATGTGTTTCCCTTCAGTATAGCCGTTTGTGATCATATCGAACATGTAAATCTGCCGCTCGAATCCCAAGACGGTGCTGATGCTATTGACAACGTTGAAGTCTACTTGATAGTGTCTGGCGAGGGTCAGCGTTGCTCTTAGGGTCGCCCGGTTGCAATCGATGATGATCTTCGTTTTGTGTTTGTTGAGCCGTAGCCGCCGCTGGATCTCATTGTTGATGTCTTCGATGTCATAGGAACCTGTGCTCAGTGCGATGGGAAACCAGTTGGCACCATCGTCGGGGGAGTAACGGAAGGAATTGTTACCTGTATGAATGTTGGGGATGGAGTTATAGGTTTCCAGGTTCACCAATGCCATTTCGTAGGTCTTGGATTCCTTGAGATGTAGTGGGGGGTTGAACCGGGTAAGGATTTGGCTATCGTTTCCAGAGACGATGAAGGAAAACCCATGCTTTGGGTCGGTATTATCAACAATTTGCTGCAACAATGTGTTGTCCATTTATTTATGGTAGACCATTGTCACATATTTTTGCGTCCACTTTTCGATACCGTCATACTGCTCCTTGAGTTGTTTACCAGCCTTCAATACGATCGCATAGACTTCGGCGGGGCGACTGGTAAAGAGGAGTTGTAGGTGAATTTTATCCATTTACTTTTTAGTACACGACGTTCATCTTCTGACCATCGGATTCAAACTGTAGGATTCTGTCGGAAATAACAAGTGCAAACGCCTCGGTGTTGGCTGGAACATTGCGGGCGAATTCGGCCCGGATCTGAATGTCTACCGTAGATTCTTTGAGACGCTCAGACTGATGACTCACATCGATTACAAACAAGGGGTACAAGTCGATGTAATCGGAGGGATTAATACCACCATTACTGAGGAGACTGTCCATGTTGTGGAATTTCTTTCTGAAGTCAGAGGCCTCTTTGAACACTCTGGCGATCCTATTTTCGTTGAAAACTGCATTATAGTCAACTGCCGGATAACGTTCAGCGTTGAGGGTGACATGGATATTTCGCAATCGACAGTGATCGAACACGAAAGCATTATGGGTTTGGTCACCACTTTTGTCGGTTTGGAAGGCAACAATGATATATCTAGGCTTTTCGCGACCACTCTTGGCAGCTAGGCGCCAGTTAAACTGTGAGGCTTGGGGAACGGCTAGGGAATCACACTGTCTCATGCGAAATCCACAGTGGATCTTGGATTTACTTTGGATGGTTTTGTACAGTTGCATCTTATTTTCGTCTGAGGGGGTGACGTGAGGGACGAACCACGATAGTTTACTCAGGACAATCTTTGCCGGATCGTTGACGGCAGCTGCTCTCAGAATGGCATTATCATTTGAATCGCGAACGAGTGAGAGTTCGTGCCTGAACCCGTACACTATTTTGTTGTAATCATCTGCGAATCCAAAAATATGTTTTAGGGGGATGGCAAACGAAAACGATCCTTTGTTGGTGGGCTTGGTGATAATGTATCCATGGCGGGCTGCAAATCCAGTGTTCTCAGCCTCAGCATCGGTGGAAGAATCCTTATACCACAGTTGGTTGAGACCCTGCGATTTGGAGAAGTCGTCGGGGTAGGTTAACATTCCGAGCATAGTGGTGGCGATGCCGGGGTCGTTAATATGTTCGATCTGCTGACCGGAAAGACTGTGACTGATGCTCTTGAAGAGATACATGATACCATTATGGGTGAGCGACACAAGATCGCCATCGGCATATGCTGTGTCATCATTCTTGAGAAGTCGACCTTCCACCACGAGATAACTCTCGGCGGGGTGTAGGAACAAATCCTGGGTTTCGATGTTGATTCGGATTTCAGCACCGGCATTGTTCAGCTGGGCACCGGCTTGTGGTTCGTATTCTCGAACCTGATATTCCTGGAGACTTTCGTCGAAGGTCAATCCTTCGGTGATTGTAAGAATGTTAGACATAATGTATTTGTTTATAGCGTTGGACGAAGTCGTGAATGGTTTTGATACAAGAGCCGGAGATGAGATTGTTTAACCGAACTTGCTCTGGATTCTTGCGTTGAAC